CTTTCCCTCTAAAATAACGACTTGTAAAACCTTCAGTAGATCATTTACTGTTTTTCATCTGTGCAACTGTAGTGATGCATTACTTCCTGCCTCCAAAGATTGTGCCAAATCCATGTCGGCACATTTCTCTACTTCAGGCACAATTCTTAATGGAAAATACCTTCATTGCCATTGCTGCATGTTTCATCATATATGCCACACGGAACATGCAGCAACAGCTGACAATGAGCTTTACATTACTTCATCCTACAGTACAAAAGCACTAACCTGCAAGCGTTTCACAAAGTGACACTGTTTCACACATGCTGTACTATTACACAAGCCTTGGGACTCACTAGGAATGCCCGGAGGTCCTTGACGCTCAGGTTCTGGAAACCACTTTTCAAAATTGTATATATAACAGCTATCCTTCCATTACAAAATCCAAAACACACTGCTTTTCAGTTTCTAACTAGAAATGTCTTAGAAGTGACACTTTCAAATCACGTAATGCTCTCAAGCAGTTCAGTAAATTTAATACCTCATAGTTGTAATATGGCTGGTTGATAACTCCTGCTATTGCTTTGCCTCCATAAGCAATTCCAATAAGAACTGTTACATGGTCAAGGAGACCTGTACAGAAACAATACATAATTAATTATGCTCGAAAACAAGAAACTAAAGATAATTAAAAAAAGGTGCAGGGGGGAGGTATGTAGAAGGTCTTATGATGCAATTACTAATCAGGATTTTCATATTTAACAGGTGTAACACATTGCTCGATGTGCTTTTTTTTAGTCATTTTGCTGTGCAAAAATTATTCATTTAGGTTCTTCCAAAAAAATAAAAAATACCCTGAAAAGTTCCTATTAAGTGAATTCAAACTACATTATAATAAATTACACATAATAAAAATGAAATTCAAAGATATAACTAAATGGTAATATATGGATGACGTTCTAAACTGGGGCCTGAATCCACTAGTAGTACTCAAAGACAAGTAATTCACAGTAGTTGTACTCACTCTTTCTCTGAAGAAAGAACAAAAAAAAAATCAAAGCAAAAAACACACCGTAATGCAAGACGCAACAAGATGCTGAAGCAAGTTTTTAGCATGCCAGTTTGTCTATGGACACAAATTAGGCCTTGCTGAAAATGGTTTCTTTCCATGACCAAAGAATTACTATTTTAGGGGAAGTTTTTGTTCTATTTTAAAATGTCTATAAATACAGCTACAGAATTTAGGTAGTTTGAGATGGAGATGTAAATATTTGCATGTTCCCATGCAAAGAGAAGATTTAATTCCCCAATAAAAAGCATACACAAAATGCTCAATTTATTTACTACAAACTTTTAAAGGCACCCTGCTAGCAATTAAAAACAGCAAATATTTTCTCCTGCAGGAAATGCTGAAGCCCTTCTGTTCCCTGAAACAATAAAACTGGTGAGCACTCAGCAGCCCTTTGGGAATATTCAGAACTGGTAACCAAATGAAAGTATTAAAAAAATAAAATCCATAGAACATAAAGTACACAAGCAACATCAGCCTTACCAAAAATATTGTATTTAACTTCTGTCATCTACAAAACCATCTACACATATATGCCACTTTATTAATGAGTAGAACTAAAAGAGAAACCAACCTTCGGTGTACTCTTTGGTCCCATCCAGAGGATCAACCCATATTACAAGCTACAAGAAGAAACCGCATGAACAAATGCAAATCATATAAATTAAGATGCAAAAGAGTTTTTTTTTTAAACACTTGTGAATAATGATGACACACAAAAAAGACATTATAATTTTTTAGTATTATGGTATACGATTATTAATTAATTAAATAAAAATGCACATTAAATAAAAATGCACATTAAATAAAAATGCACAAATGGAGTGGATCTTGTCGAGATAAAAGCTTCAATTAAACATGGAAATGACATTACTTTCTTAAATCCAAAGTTGGCTCCATATGAACACATTTGAATCACAAAGGAAGCAGATTTCCATTTCCCATGTGTGCAATGCACACAGCATTTCCAGCTTTTGGGCTGTGATTCTCATGACTACATTTTAGTTACAAAGGCAAAAAGAGAAACTGTCAATACTGAAATCATTTCTTTTTTTCCTTAATACTTTTAGTTAAAATTAGTAAGAAATATTGATAGATGAGGGTAAAAATATGAAGACATGTAACATCACCTCTTCCTCTTTAATTCCTGTGTACTGAGGCGGACAAGGTTTCTTCAGTATTTCTTCATAGTGGCCATCTTCAATCAATTCCTCAGCTACATCATGAGGGGGCAGTTCCTAACAAAAAGATACTCCAAATCATTAGAAAAAGGTGCTGGGTTGCACCTCAACTTGCTGGAGAACTGCGGATTTGCTTGCAGCTCACTTGACAGAGCTAATGCAATGAAAAGACGATTGGGATGGAAATAAACTTAAAAAAAAAGAGAGAGAGAGATGGTTTCCTAAAACCTGCTAATGCAAATTGTATAGCAAGTTACATTGTTAGTATGACATAAGTTAGGTCCTTACCTCTTCTCCTATGATTGTCACTTTGGGGAACTTGCGTGCCAGTGATGCACAAATGCTCATTTGTACCAGTCGATCAGCTTTGGTCTGTAAGTCATTGGCTCCACTCTGTCAAAGGAAAGATAGGAATTTTCAAACAGATTTTGAAACTGGCATGGAAATATCTGTTCTCATGTTCCCAGGGCAAAGATGTAAAAACTGCAATATGAAAAACCCTGAAAAACCCTAAAGATATTTGAGGTCAATAGATACAGTGAGGGATTAAAAAGTCCAATTAATCTAGCTTGTTAAAAGGAATGGAAACAATTATGATATATAAACTGTTCCTTGCTCTAGCAGAGAAGACTTTAGAAATATCAGAAATTAACCAGAGAAGTTATACTACATTGTACCTCCTAAACATTCTTCCAGAAAAAATACTCTAGAGGAAACCACGGATTTGCTATCTCAAGATTACTTGAAACAACGACTAAAAGCCTTTCTAAAGATGTACTTTAAAGTTTCTAAAGAATACTTCTTTATGCATTTAAAATTAACTGGTTAATCAAGATAACTACACCGTTTCATTTGGGCCTGTAGACAAAAGTACTTTAAAGAATACTAATGCGGCTACCTTACATGATACAGTTTGAGAGTTTGGTCTCTGAGTTCTGAGAATCCTGCTATGCTTTTGAAAACACAGATCATTACCTTCAAAGTCTTCCAAATTCTGTTTCCCACATGACTAATTGTATTTGCTTAGGGAAAAAAAAAAAAAAAAAAAGAGTGCCACTAATCACAACCCTCTGAGCTCTGCCATTCAGCCAGTTCTCAATCCACTTTGCTAAAGTACTAACTATTTGAAAAACGTAAATATGAATAATTACGTCAAAATAAATACTGAAAACAATATAGATACCTAAGGTAGTCCATAAAACTGTGACATACCTATAAAGCTTGAATTAACCTTCCAAGTTTATTTCACTAGTACTGTAGTCAAAACCAAGGACTTTGGTCACCAGAGCAGCATACTAACTTATAGTAAGTTAACAATTTAATGCAGATGGTTGCAAGCTCAGAAACAAATAGGAAGTTGCAGATTAAAGCTGAAAAGCCTGATTTGAAATAAAATCTAAGATTCTATATTTAAGAAACAAAACACAAATTAATCTTAATTCAAAATGATTAAAGCACACTACTAAATGCTACGCTATAGATACTAGAATACAGGTACGGGAATTTACTGGAAATATACCTTATTATGAATTCTGACATTCTATCCAAAATCTGTGTTCTGTAAAGGGAATCGAAAAAAATTATGACGTATTCCATTTGGGAATCAAGACAAAATTACAGGGTGTTCCTTTAGGTGTTTTAATATCCTTTAGAAATATTGGTCAAAATACATTACTTCTACCACGCCCCTATATCCTTTAATAAGGATTATTCCTGGCATCAAAGGGGTAAGGTTGATCTCCTTGATTTGATTGTTTTTCCTTCCCCAGTTGCATAAGAATAGTCTGGTCTTAAAAAATACCTCCTTGACCTGTATCTAACTCAGCATTAATAAATGATATGAAATGGGAGCAAAATAAATACCTTTTCCACTATCCCCAGATCTCCTGTAGCCATTATATTTCTAACAATTCTTGCAGCTTTCTCTGCAACTGAATACGCAGAGGCCACCACTCGCATGAGCAAAGTTGGAGAAGAAGCCATCCTGATTGCTGAAAACAAACAAAAAGCAAACATGTAAGCCTCCCTTGACTTCAGAAAGGGAAAGAAGGAAAATACTTTACATAAATAACATTCCAAGCACGTGTATGTTATTTAACTATTAACTATTTAACTATTTATGTAATTTAACTATTATTTAACTATTCTCTTAATAGAAGGAGAATAGTGAATTATTGTGCATCAATAGTAATATATATTCTTTTATAGCAATTCTTTTTTTTTCTAAACTGATCTATAGAGTTGGTTTCTGTTCAAATTCAAACACAAAGCTAGGAGAAAACATGACATGAGCAGCTTTACTTTTTTAAAAAAAGAAGGAAATAGACTTTTGTAGATAATCTGCAGATACTGCAAACACCACACTTTTCTGTATTACTTTAAACTGCTCTTGATTTGTTCCTCTGGGCAGTTCGGTGTAGTTTACTATGCCTTTAAGTCTCAAATAAAAGAGTAACTATCCCTCTTGCAAAACACCAATAAATCTCCATTCCTCCCTCCTTTCCTTTACCTCAAGAAAAAGAATTATTCACAACTCCTCTATATTTTTAAAGTGCAGAGTTAATTGCTTTTCACCATTTTCCTGTCTTTAAAAAATATATATATATGGAGACTGCCTACTTTTGGACTGCACTTATATACATGATATACTTCAAAGTAATTACTTGAGCACATAGCTAGAAAAAAAATAAAGAAATCATTAATCAGCAGATCAAAGATGATATATTCCCTCACAGTCACCTAGTATCTGAGCAATTGCAGCAAGGATTGCATAAGCAGCAGTTGGTCATTATATAATAACAGCTCCTTTATTGCTTAAGAAATCTAATCAATATAGGAAAGTATCATATAATGAGGTGATTAAGTCCAGCTACTGTAGATGCTGTTAAGGTGACAGCAAGTTAATGATTGTTTAAAGCAAACTCAAATGTCAGTGCTGTAGGCATCAAAATCCCAAACTTGGGTGATTTAACCACCTTTTCGAACATATTTGGAAACACTGCACGAGCTTCTCTGGAAGTCAGAAGAGCACTAAAGCTAAAAGAGTAGGTTGATTTTATAAGCGCATTCAAAAGCACAGCCGCTAAGTGCTAATGTTAATAGTTTTTTATTGCTCGTGGAAGGCAGCAAAGTGCTCTGGAGCCATGTAAAGCAACCAAGGTCCATGCCCAAAGCACACGCAGTCGATCCTGGATAGACAGCAATGGTTACAGGGGAAATCTTGAAAACACTATTTGTGGCAAAAAGCAGCTCTTAAAATAACTGAAAGTAGGAGAGCACATAAAAAAAACCAAACCTACATTTCAAATAAATGAGTTCTCCAATTCTTGTTGAGATGGCTGCTATTAGTTTACCAAGACAGGCATTGACTGCCTGGGGATGTCGGCATCGCACTGCCTTTACAGAAAGGCACACTCGTTTCAGCTGCACTTTCCCGTGATGCGAGAAGCAAGCGGGCACCATCCGCACGGTGCTCTGGGACACCGGGCACCATCCCCATGGCGCTCTGGGACAGCGGGCTCGGGAAGGTGCCTGTCCCCGAGGTACTCTACGCGTGAGGCACCAGAGCGTCCGTTTCCTTGCAATAACCTTCGGCTCACACTATTTAAAAGACGACCTGCTCGCTCTGCATATCGCTTAGCTTAAGGAAGTAACAGCGTTGACCCACTAGCCTGGCTTTTAGAGTTTTCAACGGGGATTTAAAAAGCCATCATATAAAACCAGACTGCTCCATTTTTAGTCACTAAGGACACAAAAGTGCTCCTCTCTTGTAAGCGGTTCTTAGTTACTAAAGTCTGAATCATTTCCCGCGCAATCTGACCGCTCGGCACGAACAACTGCCCTTCTCCCCTTCGCTCGGCTCCAGCAAGTCCCTGGGGTAAGGACACCACAGCACAGGGTCCTTAACATCACCATTTCTCTTCCCTTTAAAAATATTAAAATGCCTCTGCCCAGCGCTTTTACAGCTGGCATTCCCAGCGCTAAACCGCCTGCAGTTCAGTCCTATTCACTGTTACTTAAGCCTGAGTTAAGCAACACGCAGCCTTAAAGGGCTTCCTCCTACTCCCAGGGCTTTAATTCCGCTCGTGCTGCCAGGAACCCTCTCCGCGCGGGAAGGGGTCTCGGGAGCGGCGCGCTACGTTACCTCGGCCGCAGGTGCCGCGGAACCGCGCTGGAAACGCGGAAGCGGCCCCGCTCCTTCCTGCTCGCCGCGGGAAACGCGTTGTGGCGCAGCGTG